AGATTGCTGTTATCTCTGTTAAAAAACTCTGGTCCACTAACATTGCAAATAACATAAATTTTTCAGGGTGGGTGAACAACTGTTCTGCACTACTGATGAAAACGGTCTGCAACAAATACCCTCAAAAGAAATTCATGTCCAGAACAACATGAAAGTTCAAAATTACAAGATTAGACATAAAATGAAAGAAGAGAAGCCTTTGAATTTCAAAGCAGCAGCGATCTTTGTGTCATAACATAAAAGAATTTGTTCAATGTTCTTTGGATTCTCCTGTGGGAGTGGTGGTGGCAGCATATAGGCCCTGCTCTTCATATCAGGTGAGGAAATTATCTTGTATCTGTTTGTGTCATCTTTCATATCATCTAAGCTACAGTTTGTTTATGGTACAAGCCTTGTCTGAAGTAGCACAGTAATTGTAGGATGGATCATGTGAGCCATGTTCACATTTTCTGAAGCATTTTATGAAGCACAAAAAACCTGAGTGTTCTTGGATTCTTAGCAATAACTTTACTTGAAAACTGTTCAATATTGTTATAATAAATAAATACATAACTTATCCTACTGGCCTGAGATGCAAGTGAAAGACCATGGTAGTCACCTTGTCTGCAAGCTATGTGACATGGGTAGTCTTGGGCTGTGCTTACACAGACTACTGTAGCTTCTAGAATAATGGTTTTATTTTTCTTTATGGCTATCTGCAGGCCAAGCTAACAAACTCAAAATGAGAATCTGAGAATACTGGTCCATACAGTATGTATTAAAAAATAATATAAAGTTCCAGCAATTTTGTTATCGTGTGCCTAATTCTGTTGCCAAGTATTTTTTCCTAAAACATTGCTGGGGAAAAGGACTTGATTTTTTCAACAATTGATCTACATAGGGTAACTTGGCAATAAGGACAATGAGGATTTTTTGGAGAAGAATCTGCATTTTCATTAAATCCATTGTTTGAATTTTCAAAAAGGAGTTTGAAAACAAATCAAATAAAACTTGTTCTCACATCATTCATTCTGAAATCCCAGGAGCATTCCAGCTAATCAGGGATTTTTGGCTAAGTGTTACATAAACCCTAGGAATTACACTGAAAGACATGTGTCAATGAATACAAAGAAAATCAAAGAGTAAACTTAGTTTTTGTGTTCAGAAAATATTAACCTCAGTTGCCCACAAGTAAAATGTCAGAATGTTTCTGCTGTAACGGAATGCTGAAAATTAGGATAAACGTTACCTGATAACTAATTGTCTGAAACAGCATATAGTGGCAGATGGCTTTTGATGAAGTGTAGGGACTTCTTTTGTCATCCTCTGCTGTCAGTAAAAATACTTGTCAGGAGTCAGATCTGAAATGATTGTTTACTGATCGTGGTATTGTTGAGAAATTCATTTTGTATAAAAGTCACTGCTCTTTTGCAGGATTGCACAGAGCCAAGCTCAACAGACTCTTACTTGCAATTGGAATTTAATTTGTGAAGATATGACTTCTAGCAGGGTGATTCTCATTCTTTATGGAAAGTGAAGTTAAATAATATGCACTAAACGTGACTGTACATTAAAAAAAGGAAAAGCAAAGGCAGACTGGAAAATCGTTGTTTCAGTCTGCTGCTAAAAGATACATTCAAGAGTATCTCAGCTAAGTGAAGAGTATAAAATGTATTGGGAAACTCACAGGAATTAGGGTTTTAGATATCAGAAATGTTTCTTCTTTCTGTGATGTCAATGCAAGATAATTTCAAAGCAAGCAGATAAGAATAATACATTGCCTTCAAGTGAATAAATATGTATGTGATGTCAAGCTGCTAGTTCTCTGTTTGACTGCGACCAGTCACTTGGTATTGGTAAGTCTGCTGCATGGGACATTCTTGTTCTGTTCCCTCCTGTTAATGAAATGCTGGGTGTAGTACACCCCAAAAATACCAGATTCTGCACTTTCCATCAGAACTGACAAATGCTGAACTCACTTACTTACATTTTTCCTCTGAATCACTATGAGACAGCAGAACCTATATCAGCCATTACTCCAGAAAGCTTACTTTTCATCTTTCTTATTTTCCCCCGTGATGTAATCTTCTCTTGCTCTGTGGCCACTAGGTTCTTTTCCTCATTAATAAGTTTGTAGTATTACCTACTGGAAGGACTTCCATGTCATTCAGACGTGTGAAAATGCTCCCCCTAGATTTTGGCTTGTAACTTTGTTGTTGGAAGAATATGTACAATGCTGTTGGTATCACAGAAACAAACAAACAAACAAACAAAAAGGAAATAGTACTTCAAAATACTTGTTTTGTCTTAGAAAGTGAGACTGGCCATTTCTAACAAGCTGCAGGCATTGCAATCAGCGGGAGTTAAATATTAGAAAGAGAAAGCTTCTTTTTATGAGTCTCGAGGCACACGATTATTCTTGCAGGAAGTGACCTTAATGTTTCCATTTTTCTTTTAGCTGAATGTAATAGAGTTTGAAACAGTGAATTTTCTGTGCGCCTCAGAATTTCTCTAGTTGAAGAGCTTCTGTTCAGCTTCTGAAGCAGCTGACCGGTTGGCACTGGAGTGCAGCCTGCTTAATGATTTGGCACAGGACACTTCTCTAAATACTCCTATATCTATGAACTATCCATTGTGATTCACACTGTTTGCAGGCTTGTATACATGAAAGATTTGAGACTTAAAGTAAGGCTTTTGAGAATGGCGTTAAAGTGATGAGAGTGATCAACAACAGATAAATCCATAATGGTAAGGAGTAGAAAATAACTTCTTAATGCAAGGAAATATCATTGAGTCTGTGTTAGCAAATATGTGGGAATAATCTTCATCTGCTATATTTACTGCTAATGGGAGTTTTGCTTGCAGCTTCCCATGCTCTGCAGTTAAGAATGACTTTACTTTTTAATGTTGTTTTAACATGATTTTCTTCTCATTTCATTACTTATTGTAGATCAATAAAATTACTGGTTTTCAAACTTTAACACGGTCAGGTAATAAAACTTAATAAAACCAGGAAACATATATAAGTCCTTGCTAATGCATCCTAATGCTGCGAATGTTAGATTAGCCATTACTTTACCCTTGAATGATTAAGTTAAACTTTTCTTTATGGAAATGAAGATGATCTCATAGTGTGATGAAAATGTGCTTCATCTGGACTCTTTGTAGCTCTTACAGCTCTGTGAAATTATTTTCTTAGATGGATATAACATAACCTCCCACATAACTAATCTAGAAATGAAGCTATTTTCCATGGTCTAAGAGCTATTTAGCCCTTAGTCTGAGACAGTGTAGTAAGGGAGTCCAGTGATGGCAGCTGTTTCTTTAATGGTAATTATAATTCTCTTAAATCCTGATTGCAACCAAGCAGCTGCCCAGTTATGGCCCAGGAATCATTATCTTGGCAATAGCAAACTGTTGCTCTTGTCCTTCTCACATCTGGCTGCTGAATGCTGTGCTGGACCCTGGATTGGGTGCTGCTTGGGAGAACAGCTGATACAGGGCTGTGGAGGTGATGTGTGTATGACAGCAGAATCCATTTGGAAGGAACAGTGAAGAATGTTCCTCTACCAGTGCAGAGCTGTTGAAACTATGTTGTCTTGTAGAAAAACGCTAAAAGAGGCCTATGCAAAGACATAACCTTTCACTGGGTAAATGGAATTATTGTCGCCAAGATAAAGCAGAAAAAAGAAGAAAATCTATATGACATTGGAATAAATATTGTACAACAACTGGAAAAAGAGATAATTCATCCTTGTAAGAGTAGTTCAAACATTGCAAGAAACAACGCAGTACTGAATAAAAGGTACACAGTATTTATTCTCTGTAAATGTGTGAGAAAGCCATCACTAGAAGTTATTTGCTCTGGAATGGGGAGAAAGTCTTAGTTTAACCTTTAAAATATATAGTCTGTATAGTCTAACTACGAAAATTAAGAGAAAAATGTAGGGACTTGAATTAAAACCAAACCAACCAGCCAAACCACTATTTCAATTCAATGGAATTTAGCTAGGTTCACTGAGGTACCATCACGGCCTGGAGTTTGAGAGGTTGGATGACCATGAAACTTTGTCTTCAAGGTCATCTGAGGAGGGGCAATTAACCACGGGGAGTAAAAGCCAAAAAATTTCAGTTATGAGTCTTATTCCAAGCATCAGTTAAAACTGAATCTCAGCCCTGTGCTGATTTGAATGAGATTCCGGTCAGTTTAAATCCTCACAAGTCTCAATTGCCAAATTCATGAAGTAGGATCGTCCCATGCAGTAACCATTTGCATTCAAAAAGCTTAAGCAAAAGAGAGGTTTTAGTCTTCATTCATAAGGAAATAGGTCTTCGGTGACAGTTCTCTGTGAGCGCGTTTGCCATCAGTTCCTTTGTGTCAGCACTAAATAGCTCTTGCATCTATCGACTAGCTGCAAAAGCGTTTGACAGAAGGTTGTTGTCTCGGAAACGCTTGTGTTGTGGAAACCCTAGAAAATTCTATCAGCCAACTAGAAATATACATGTAGCTTCTGGCCAGCTAGCCACTTAGGATTTGTACGTCTCAATGCTGGTCACAACACATAGTCCCTTTCCTCAGCTGCGTTTTGGGTCTCATTAGCTTAATCCCTGAGGTATTTTCTTGCAAAGCATGGTGATGCAGTTCTGAGATACTGGCAGTGGTTTGGGGATCTGTTTTCATCATGCACCTAAGATAAAGAGTAGTGTAACTAAAAGGAATAAAAGCAGCAGGCTTTTATTAAGTAGCAATGATGTAGGCTTGCACAGAGAGAAAAATTATTACTTAATTCTGAAATGCAGGAATGTACGAAAAGATAGAGGAAAAAAGTAGAAACTCCATAAAAAAAATCATAGGGAAAAGATGATCTGTAGGGGAACTGTAAGGTGATGGCTTGAACTGGTGATCGAGCACCTGGTGAAGGGCTGAGGCCTGCTCAGGGAGCTCAGGCAGATTGCTTGCACCTGTGCTCCCCAGGTGACCAAAAGGGCTGGGCTCTATGACTCTGTGATTCTATGCTATGACTCACAGTAGGGCCCTCCAGGGCTCACCTGAGGGCCAGCCATCGCTTGGGCTGCATGCTGAGAACGAATTCTGTGTGGCCAGAGAGCTGCATCACCAGTTGGGTGAGTTCAGCTTTTCTTTCTGTATCTGACTGTTGGCCCCTCTGTGAATACTTTGCCTGGAATTGCCAAAGCAGAAAATGATCTGAAGAACAGGTTCTTGTAGAGTATTAAAAATTCTACAGTTAAAAGAGTAGGATGTCCTGTGTGTTGATTAACAGGCTTAAAATGAAAGGGTTCACATTTTGAGCCTCATCGGAATGACCAAATCTTAGGGAACAGGTAGTGTTGATACTAGATTTGTGAAGTGCTTCCAAATTGCAAAGTTCCCTCAGTGGGACTTAAAGCAGGGCTGTTGGGCTGACTGTGTCATTGCATGGACTGTGCATCAATCTCTCTCTCCAATTGCTCTGATCTCTGCCTGGTGATTGCCTTTCTTAGCCGCCTGCCCAAAACAACTGCAAAAACATTATAGGGAAGCCAAATGGAAAGGATTTGAGGTCTAGTCTGCAAGTTGTCTTTTTGACATTGAGCCCAAATATCAGAAATACAAAATACTGGTCTATCAGTTTATTCCCTTAAAGCGTCTGAGTGCTGCTGCTGAGCGTGTAATCACTTTTATGTTTTACCTGTGGTCACTGCGGTACTGGTACATAATTCATTATTTTTCCTCGTGCTTTGGAATACCTTGAGTGTTAAAGAAATAAAAACTATTCTATGCTTGCCTATTCCGTTTCATCATACTGGGAAGCTACATCATTAAGACACAAAGGACAAAAACGCATGGAGTAAGCTGAAAGACATGAGGCTAAGGCATAACAATGTATGTAGATACTCATTGTTGTAAATCCCGCATCAAAAGATTATTTAAGTTTATAATAGCCACAAACTCTAAAAAGAATTTTTTGCCTTTCAGTGCTTGAAATGTTACACATTTCTCTGTGTCATGCACTATTCAAGGTTCAGGTGTCCTAGGCATCCACTTGTGACTTCTAAATCTGCTTTGCTTTAACCCATTGTTATTCTATGCTCAGTTTAAGAAAAACTGACTGAATGCTTATATTTCTAGTCACTGCTTATTTGTGTATTTTTGCTGGTGTAGGTGTTGTTTTGTCTGTATTTTGCTGGTGTAGGTGTTGTTTTGTCTGTATGTGCAGTTAATGAAATGATTGTTCCAAAGCTAATATTTATAGCTGGCATTTGATTATTTGTAAATAATCCTCAGCTGGTTGACTGAGATTAAGATAGTGGTGAAAGTTTTAAGGCTCCTTTTACTCTGCTAAATCTTTGCACATTACTGAAGTGTCAAAAGTTTGTATCAAAATTAAAATATAATTTTAATTAAAATAATAATTTTAACATATGAGGTGCTGCATATTGTTGACTTGGCTGTGAGAAATTTCCAGCTTTAACCTCTGGCTACACTGTCTTACACTTTCTCTGTCCTAATTTGTCACCTCCTGTTTAATTTCAGAGAAACTTTAGGCAACAGAAGAACCAGGAGCAACTCTGACCCTTCTTGAAATCAAACAAAGACAGTGACCATGATTTGGAGAAACTTTTCTGCTTCAGTGGCATCCTATGGATGTGTGAGGTGAGTAGGGCACAAGTATTCGCCTAGAGAAACTTTCTGATAACACGTCCTTTCCAGGTGCCTTGGGTAGATGACAGCAGTTTTGAGGTAGTGCGTTTATACGCTTTTCATTTCAGCTTAGTTCATGGTTCAGAGAGAGAGAAGTGGCGTCCCAGGTAACCTATCCAGTGAGATGAGATCAGATAATTAAAGATATTAAATACTTTCTTAATTAAATGCTAATCTGTAGGCTTGGGCCACCAGGTTTGAGTGCAAGTTGAAAAATTAGTCACTCTTACTACGTATGTTTCTGGAAGCACGTCCATCTGTAAGCAGCTGATGGGTGAGGTGTTACAAAAATAATGTGGTTGTCACTCTTGCCTCAGAATGCTTCCAAACTGGTGCAATACCTTTTGAGATGTACTAACGGAACTCAGGCATTAGCCACGTTATGCTGGTTATGTTGTATTTTGCAATATGTTCAAATGTAAAATCCAGTAACACACCGTAACAAATCTATTTGAAGATCCAAAACTTATTCTTTCACAGTGAAGCATAGCAGGGGATTTTGTGACCAAGTTACAACAGTATGATACAACAGTAATCAGATTTTAAATGTCTATTTCACCTTTCTTCTGTTGTATACATAATTGATAAGTGAACATTTTAATAGGAATGGTATCCAGTGTCTTATTCAACCTCCCAGCAGACAGGTGAATTATTCCTTTTGTTGTGTGAGTCTATGTACTCTGCTATTAGAAAAAAATCCATGATAATTATTCAGTGGACAAAGTGACAATAAATATGTAGACCTATGTGATATTTGATTATCAACTGTATGCCAGTGTTCAGGGGTGGCTCATGAGCATTGCACCTTCCTTACCATCTCTATTCTCTTTTGATTTTTCGTTGGTTTTGTGTTCTCAATGCCTTTGAAAAATATTATTTCAGTGTATGTAAATAGGGGATGTTGGTCCTTCAAGTATGTATCTTGATCTGTTGTTTGTTAAGACAGATTGTTTATTTTTTCTAACTTGTGTTATTAGTTAACGAATTAGGAAAAATATTGGCAAAATAGTTATAAATTGTATATTTCCTTAGGTCATGTTTAGTGTGCATTTAGAAACCATTGTGTTGATTCCGGTCAATTTTGTGTAGCGCAACAGTGTCGTTTGTTGAGAGAGGGAAATTTGCTGAGCAGATGATGAGCTCTCATGTAAAAGTGATAATGTACCCGACTGTACCTGACACTAGGACAGCCTGCATGGCCTCTTTAATCTTGCAGGCATCAAGGTCGCATTATAAAGCCTTGACTGGCTGAAGTTGTGTTAGCCTAAATATAGCCTGAATGAGGTGTGCGAGAGCCAGAAGTTCTCTGAAGACATGTGATGATGACTGTCAGTACTCCTGAAAACTTGAGATGAGCTAAAGGAGAGCCAGGGAGAAAGTATGCATCTGATCCTTAACCGGGAAGAAAGTTTGGTGTCTCTGAACTTAGCCAGTACCAGTAAACCAGAGCAGACTGTTTTCTTTAGCAGCTGGATGATGGTATCTGTGATTTTTGAAACAGTGAAATGATTGTCTTAGAAATCATTTTCTAATCTAACCTGTTTAATAGAGACGTAGATACTAAAAATGTTAAAAATAGTAGTGTGATTTGAATTTGTGTTTACAGCCAAAAAGAAATTGAAAATGAAAACAAAACACCTCAGAAATTTAATTTCCCTTGTGTATTATGCACTGCATTAATTAGACAGGTGAACGATTACCTACAGTTTCAAAGAAGATGCCAATGAATGATTAAATACAAGTTGTAAAGCATTCACACAAATGTTGCACTGGAATAACTAACTGGTAGCAGGAGGTAATGGCAGTAATTGTGCTGGAAGAGGTGAGATTCTGCCTGCTCTAGAGTGAGAACAGATAGCCAAAGGGAAAAAGCTACAACCCTTGACTATCATCCCTTCCACCGTATACTATAATTCATGGTGTTATTCCTGTGCTTCAGTCTATTCTCCTGTAGTTAGATTTGGGCTGGCTTTGCAGTCACTAAGGGAAGCTTTTGGGCTTCAGGATCACTAGATCACTGCTTGATTCTCCCTGGCCTTGCAAACAATGGCACAAGGAAAGTGGTGAGAAGTTCAATATGGGTTTCTTGTGTTTTGATTATTTGGCAAACCTGAAGAGTAGATGACTTCTACCTACTCAAGAAAGATTCAAACTCCTACATGTTAGTATTTGAACGTATACATGATCTTAAGATAACACTGATTCTCTTTTTTTTTTTTTTTTATCTTAGCATTTTTAGGTCCTGGCAGGTTTCTCTGCTGTATCTTAGCCCAGGGATAAATTAAAATGTTTTCTTTGTGTGCTTATGAGCAAGTTTTTTTTCCGCAGATAAATACTAAGCTAGAGACTATGAATTTTGTTACCTCTTTAATGATGTTTGTATTTTAAGTATTCTCTGTGTTCTGTGTAACTGTCTTAAGAGGTTTCGCAATGAGATTGGATTAATTCAATTTCTAACCTTCGAAAGAAAAAAATATATCAGGATGCTGCTGAAGTAGATTCAGTCCAGCATTTTTGGTATTAGGTGATTTAAGGAGGGAGGAATAGTAGTGAGCAAAGGACATTAACAATGCTAGCCAGTGAGATTTTGTTCTGCTGTTCTGTTTTCTTCAAGGGTGGTAAGTAATCCCTGGTTATTTAATCCCTGACCATTAAATATAAGAAATATAATGTCTGAAGTGCTGGTGCTAAAAGGCCTCAATAGAATTCTTTTTTTCTTTACCTTGAATCACAGTAGTTTATGCCTCTCCTTTTATCTACTTACTTATTTCGCTTTGGTACTGAGTTGTTCAGTTCCTGTCCTTCATGTTCCCAAGGCCTGCTGTGTCCTAGAGCTGTATGTTGTAACAATATTTCAGGTGGAATGTTGTTATTATAGGCAGTAAAACAAACCATTGATTGGAAAAGACTAAGTCGGTTGTCTTCTTCCTTTCAGGGAAAACATTTCTTAATATCTTTATCTAAACAAACTTTTATTTATAGCACCATGCTCTTAGGAATTGAATTATCAAAAAAATGCCTACCACCTAACCAGTGTTATGCTGTTTTTAGAGAACGGGCTAACAAGCGTTATGATTTTCTATAGGGCAGACTTAAGATCTTCATTTAATCTGTGCAGTGTTACTTGGATATCTTGAGAACCTAGACAAGCTTTGTGGATTTGGCTCAAGCTAAAGGGATCTCTTCTGCTTCTCTGGACTTCTAGGTTGCTGTAAATATTACGCTGGTTTGGAGTACTTAATGCTTCCTTCTAGGGATCGTGAAAGCAAATACAGTGCCCTATTTGTGCGTATCTATTGCAGAGCAAAATGGCACCTTGAACTGGTCATCCAGAAGGCAGAGATTGAGAAGTCACCAGTAACTCATCGTTTAGCCTCCCAGATACACATTCCAATAATATTTTGTCACTTCTCATGGGGAATACTACTCTAATCCCTTCTCAGAGTTCCTAGTGAAAAGCTTGAGAACAAAGGGTCGGTGAGGATAAACTCTGTCCCCTACAATGACAGAGGGAATTATAGCTTTGTTAATGTCAGTACTGGACCAGTGAGCAAAAATATCCTTACTTATCCCAATTAACAGGCATATGGTTTTGAGTATCTTGGCACAGCATCGTGCCTTTTGAAAACAGAGTGAAATCTTATGTCTACATGAACCTGACGTTGACATTAGACAGGGAGATGATGCAATTGATCCCTGTTTTGACCTTCCGCCAAGCACTGGCCTCAAGATGAGCCAGAAGAAAGGTTGGAGCAGGCAGGATATGGAGACTGCAGGTCCCAGCAGTGCAGCTGCCCATACCCATTGAGGAGGCTGCCCTTCCCTCAGCTCAGTGCATGGCTGCTACATCCCAAGCTTTGCCTGGCTTTGTGTAAGCATGTCAGGCGGATCTCTTTACCTGGCAAAATCCAGGTGAAGGAGCATTTACACGAGCAGTAGAAAGGCTTGGACTCAAGGTGTTGGCATGTGGTACCAGAGGCAATGTATTTTTCACATGGTTGAGAACATATCAGGAGAATGGGTGTGAACTGTCATGGCTAAGTTGGTCTGAAGTACTAAAATCCCTGTTTTACCTCCTCTCCAGCCTCCCTTCCCTGTTGCCCCTCCACTAAACTGCCTTGCAATTTGTTGTTGGGGTTGAACTGCAAAACAATACATCCTGAAAATAAAACTTTTTGAGCATAACTCTGGAGTTGAGCTGATAGAGGAGGGGGGGAATGGGCACACCTTCAAGCCAAGTGAGTTAAGCTAAAAATACGTTCTCTAATACTTGAGTACTAAACAACACATTCTTGCGATGTGATCTAGATATGGCCTTGTACAAAACCTGGCATTCTCCTCTATGTGAGGCATGTGATTTACTGTAGTTTGAAATGGTTACATTATTTGTCCTTGTTTTAGATAATGAATAGAGTGCAGTGTGTGCACTGAAGGCCTAAATAAGATTATAATTATGTTTTCCTAATAGAAAAGTATGCAATTTTTAAGTGCTTACTGGTAGAACAGTGGCTCGTGCCTTGAACGTTTCCTTCTTGAGAGAGGAGAAAATAAGTTTGTCTGCTATGCCTGCTACTAACCAGACTTGCAAAGTCATCAGCAACCTTGTTTGTTTTTGTAACAGTCAAAAGATTTGTTAGGAACATACAAGAATAGTTGTGGTATCTGTTAGAGGATGGCATTTATACTGCTTGTTATACTTGCTTTTTAATCCTTCCCATTCATAGAAAAAGAACCAATTCTGTCTTTTCAGCTGCAATGCAGAACATGACCTTCGCTTTTTCTCCTTCATTTTTCATAACAATTTTTAGAATAGAAAACAAGAGCCTATTGTCTGTTACTTAAAAAATGATCTCCCCATTGATTTGCAAGTAAATAGCAGCCTCAGAATATTTAACTATGTTTATTGTGCTTCTGATGCACAGCAAAAAGTATCATCTGTCTTTGCCAACCTG